TACATACTGGCAACTGGCGCGCGCTTAGACGGCCTTTCCCGCCTGTTCGGCGCGGGACCCCACGAGCGCTCTCCCCCATGATGCATGCTATCCAAAGCAAGAATTACAGGCGGCAGGATCTTCGTCTGAGGACCTCCCCCAACTTTCCATTAAAAATCTCGTCCAAGCTGCTTTTCTGGAATTAGGAAAACGCCCCAAAATCGGCCTTTTCAGCCCGTTCAAAGCTCAAATTCGGATTTTGCGTGGCGAAAAGGCTTAAAACATGCAAAGAGGTGGAGGAGCAAAATCTGCCGGGACACTGCATTTAAAGCATTTCGAACCGTTAATTCTTTTGAGCGCAAAAAAGGATATACCCTAAAATCCGTACAATAAGTCCGCCTATCAGATATCGCAGCAGACCTAGCAGATAAGTCCGCTTCCTTGACAACAAAAGTCGACCTTGCGCCGAAAAGAGTCCTGCAGATAAGTCCGCTTTCTCATGCTCAGAATAAGCGGACTTATCTGCTGCGGACTTATCTGATAGAGGATTTAGGAGGACTTATTTGCAAGATTGGCGGCGCAGAGGGCGACTTTTCAGCGATTTTTCGTGTCAAAACTGCAGACAAGTCGGACTTATTGTACGGATTTTAGGGTATTTTTGCACGTTAACTCGTTGACGACCGAGCCATTTTAGACCACATCAAAATCGACTGAACATTTAGATCTGCAGTTCAAAAACCATTTGAACTCTGGAGAGGGGGGGGGGCTACATAATGTTCTCAATTTCGTTCACAAATGAAAAACTGATTTACGAAAGTGCTAAACGGGAGTTAGAGTATGCATACGAACGTATTCACACAGTCGTCGTCGTGTTAATCAATAAAAATCCTCATTCCATAGGATAAGTAACATAGTACCAACACTGCCGCCTTGAAATCCTACGATTTAAACGCGTTGTCGCGCCGGAAGTGCCGCATTGAGATATTTCGCTTGTACTTCAACCAATCGCATTCTAGTTTGAATATTTGGAATCAGCGCCTTCTGATCTATCTAAAAGTGCTTTTAAAAATTTCAAAATCCTGTGTGTAAAGATTTTTTTCTGGGCCTTCGGCGTTATAAACGCATCGTCGCGTTGGTATCGCCGCATCGGCATAACTCTTTTCTACTTCAATCTATTGAATTCTAGTTTGAATATTTGGATTCAGCGTTCCCTGAGCTACCCAAATAACTTTTTAAAAAATTTGAAACACTGCTCACAAGCTTTTTTTTTCGTGCCCAGCGGCGGTTTAAACGCAATGTCGCACTGAAAGTGCCGCATTACCGTAACTCTGTTCAAAATTCTTCAACTAGAATTTTGATTTAATATTTGAAACCGGCATCGTTTTGTCTAGCCATGTGTCAATTTAAACTTTACAGATTCCTTTGTCTTGATCCCTTTTCAAATTATGAACGGCGATGTAAACGCAAAATGGCGTTGGAAAGGCCGGAATGGTGTAACTTTCTTTATATATGTCGTATCAAATTTTAATCTGGATTTTCGAAATCAGCGAGGTTTGAGCTATCCAAACATGTAATTAAAGTTGGAAAAATCAAAAAAAATTTTCACTCTGTGCTCTAGATTTTGGTTGGTCCCTCGCATCGTCATAATTAGCCAGGCTGGCCTAGGCCTTGGCTGCAGTGACCTCACCTTATTGATTTATTATCATAATCGCAACAAACTATTGGTACTATGTGAAACTGGAATTGATATTTTCATCCATACACTTCGGAGAAATTAGGAACTGCGGAATTTGCAATTTTAAAATTTTGAAATTTTTGAATTTTTAAAATTTTAAAATTTTCATAGTACTTATCCGATTTTAAAGAATCATTTGTTTGAGACATTATTTGCCATACTTTGAATCATCCATGACAGGTCAATTATTCAGTATATCACACTTAGACCTTCCAGTATGGATGAAGCAATGTAATTTTATGAAATTCAAGGTTGCTTCCTCTTTTTTCTTTTCTTCTTCTTTTGCTCGACTCACACCTAGTAGTTTAGACTTCCATAATTTTGAGTCTTTGATTTTTAAGAGCGTTTGAGAGATTTATATTTTTGAGTTTTTTTAAATTTTTTTTTGTTTTTATTTTTCTTTCACAAAACATTTATTCATCGGGCGTGAAAATCATTCTCAACTGTATTCCAATTTCAGATCCGACGACAATGCTGACTTCTTTTCCATCCATCATGTGTTGAACGACGTGTACCGGTGCAGGTTTCTGCTGACCTAACTACCACAATATTTCTTGCATCGATTGGTAAAACCCAATTGACCTGAAGAACAGTCGATGTGTAGATATTGCTGCTCTATCTTGGAATAAAACTTTCACTGATTTTTCAAAGAAGCACGAGGTGACAGTAGAAAAAAGAACAAATATACGGGTGCTGTTTCATTCAAGGAATTTAAATGAATAAAATAAGCAAAATGGATCAAATTAAGAATCGAAATGTTAAAAATGAGAAATTAGGATTTTCGACGGCATCGAATCTAGCTACATTATGATTCAGCGAGAATTTGAGTGAGAGCTCATAAAAAACCGAAATTATGATTTTTGCAGTCGAATAGATCCAGTAGCCGGAAAATTCCATAAAATTCAGCCATTTTTTGAGTAACAGTTCCAAAAATCAGAAATTATGATTTTTGTCATCGAAATGATCCAGTAGCCGGAAAAATCAATCAAATTCAGCGAGAATTCGAGTGAGGGTTTCCAGTAATCAAAAATTACGATTTTTGCCGTCGAATTGATCCAGTAGCCGGAAAATTCCATAAAATTCAGCCATTTTTTGATTAAGAGTTCCAAAAATCAGAAATTATGATTTTTGTCATCGAAATGATCCGTTAGCCGAAAAAATCAATCAAATTCAGCGAGAATTCGAGTGAGAGTTTCCAAAAATCAGAAATTATGATTTTTGTCATCGAAATGATCCAGAATTGATCCAGTAGCCGGAAAAATCGATCAAATTCAGCCATTTTTTGAGTAAGAGTTCCAAAAATCAGAAATTACGATTTTTGCCGTCGAATTAATCCAGTAGCCGGAAAAATTTATCAAATTCAGCCATGTTTTGAGTGAGAGTTTCCAAAAATCAGAAATTATGATTTTTGTCATCGAAATGATCCAGAATTGAACCAGTAGCCGGAAAAATCGATCAAATTCAGCCATTTTTTGAGTAAGAGTTCCAAAAATCAGAAATTATGATTTTTGTCATCGAAATGATCCAGTAGCCGGAAAATTCTATAAAATTCAGCCATTTTTTGAGTAAGAGTTCCAAAAATCAGAAGTTATGATTTTTGCCGTCGAATTAATCCAGTAGCCGGAAAAATTTATCAAATTCAGCCATGTTTTGAGTGAGAGTTTCCAAAAATCAGAAATTATGATTTTTGTCATCGAAATGATCCAGAATTGATCCAGTAGCCGGAAAAATCGATCAAATTCAGCCATTTTTTGAGTAAGAGTTCCAAAAATCAGAAATTATGATTTTTGTCATCGAAATGATCCAGTAGCCAGAAAAATCTATCAAATTCAGCGAGAATTTGAGTGAGAGCTCCCAAAATCTAGTAATTATGATTTTTGCCAACTGACCACGAACCCCACTCAAAGCATGACCATTTTTCGAGGAAATTTGCTTTCCAAAAAACCATGAATTCAGAATTTACCGTTTTTCTCGTGAATCATATTGCATGATGACTACTGAACAAGCAAGACTCTTATAAACCCACCTGGTTGATTTTTGAAAAAGTTATGAAAAGTGTCTATAATCTCGAATTTGATTGAAATAATCAGCTTTGTCTTCATGAGTCGCGTAATCGTACTTGTCGAAGTACTCAGCGAACATTTTGAGCTAAACTCTTCATGTATTCGATCTTACGTTAGGCATACTCGTACCGACGCTAATCTAGAATGATTCCAAGGTGGGCGGAGCTAATCCACGAAGGCGCTAATCCACGAAGGCGGTAATCCTGTAATATCCTCCGGAGAGACGCCAAAAATGGACAACTCATTGCATCGATTGCACATTGCTATCCAGAGCATCACCTACACTCATACTCTCTGTGAGCATAACCGACAACTTACAAGATGGCTGCAGCAGACTACCTTGACATCATCTTACCACTGCATAGGACAGGAGAGACGATCACCAATATCCACAAAAAAGTGAACGAGGTATATATAAACATTACAACCATTATCAGGCAATAAGAATTACGAACTTTGCAATACCTACCTATGCAGAAAATCTCAAAAAACTTTTTTTGCAACCTTTTTGATTTTCTGTGTGTCCATCAGTGTTAATCACAGAAAAATCCGTCGATATCAATCCAATCCATAAGGAAGTTCATCAAGGACTTTCATGCAATCAAACCATTGACAAGAAAAGTATCACGCGGAGCAGGTACCAAATTTATCAAAAATAAAAAATTCACTAAGAGAATGGCATTTTCCGCAATTCCAGCAAACGAAGGAGTAATCAGAGCCGAAGTTACCAGGCTCTACAGACAAGACAACTCAGTGACGGCGATCAGCATTTCAAATCACTTGAGAACACGAGGAATTCATGCAAGCACAACGCTTGTTAAACGATACCGTGATCGACTGGGTTTCAAGCGTAACACGACAAAATACTGCCACATGATCAGGGACGTGAATAAGGAGAAGAGAGTGGACTTTTGTCTGGATATGATGGCAGATAAAGAGAGATTCCTTGACTGCGTCTTCACCGATGAATCCACATTCCAGCGTTCGTATCAACCCGTTCGTATCCTCATTTATTCAATATATATATTACTATTTCAGTTGGAAATTCTACCAAATACTGCTACGTGGAGCCTGGTAATACAGCAGGGAGACTGAGAAGCAGAGCAAAACATCCAGCGAAGCTTCATGTTTGGGGCGGTATCTCTTATAGAGGTACTACCGCCCTTGCAATCTTCAAAGGGACCGTCAGGATGGATTCGAAGCTGTACTGCGAGATTTTGGAGGAGTGCTTTCTCAGCTTTTCCGAGGGAGCATATTACGGTTTGAGAAAACTTCTTTCATCATCCATCCTTGCTTCATGTGAACTTTTAGGCTGTGCTAGATTGGTGCAAGATAACGCACCCGCACACAAAAGCGCCTACACGATGGAACGTCTTCAGCGGTGGGGCGTAAGGACAGTCGATTGGCCAGCTGAATACCCCATTGAGCTGGTCTGGGGAAGCATGAAAGGCTATATGCGGTGAGCCTACAACATGAACGAGTGGATTATTGACTAATTCTGTAATTTAGAACACAATCTTTTCGCACAATCGACCAGCTAGAGAGCGCTATAAGGGATTACTGGAGCAAGTTGACACCAGAGATTTGCCAGAAGTACATAGAGGGAATCCAGTGGAGGATGCCGCTTATCGTAGAAGCTCGCGGCGGAAATATAATCGAGAAGAATCCGAACAAAAAAAGAGTCCAGAACCATGCCCAACCTTCCGACTCTGACAGTAACACTGAGGAGAATGACTGGTTCTAAATTTTCATAGACAGTGCTTGTAAGATAATAATAGTATGATAAATAGAAAATGTGATAATATCTGATATATATTGATGTATATTGTTTCCCGACTCAAGTTTGTAGCTCCTGCGAATAATCTACTGAAACCCAATCCTGTGAATACCCATATCGCAATTTTGTAAAAATTATTTAAGTAATGGAATATGTATTATAATAGATAATAAATTGATAATAAATAATTATATGTATACATCGCAGATATACAGCTGTGATACAGACATGGAGTAATGCATCTTGAAAATGGGAAATAGTATATGATGAGAGCAGAAAAGGTAAGCCAAGAGCTATGTTTAATCAAATGAGCTCATTGTCTATATATGGGAACTCGAAGACGCAGAAATGCTTAAGGCGGTGATAATCAGTGACACGGGGTCAGCAATCCCAATTATCCCGTTAGCGATGCTCAAGGGATAAACTAGGTCATGGCTCATGCAGGTCACGGCTGCATCTTCTCCTCTGGGCAAAAATAGGTCGAATTTTCATATGTCATGAGGACGACAGGAATGGTATATCAATGCCAGAGGATGAACAGCAAGTCATCCTACAACCATCATGACCGAGCAGTTCGCTGTTGTCTTCTACCCCCGCACAAAACAATCAGACGTGGTCTCTTGCGACGACATCGTAGGAGAATTAGGAGTGGGAGTCACCACAAAGGTACTCAGTAAAGGAAGGACCTATCCAGCAAAGGTGAGTTTTGAGATATTTGGAAAAAATTAATTTTCGGCACTTGAGCATTTGAATTCTTCCAAAGTCTTTTGTGAATTTTTGAAAGCCTCACTCAAATTCTGGCCGAATTTGATAAATTTCTGAATCATTTCAAAAAATGGCTGAATTTGATAAATTTTTCCGGCTACTGAATCATTTCGACGGCAAAAATCATAATTTCTGATTTTTCGGAGCTCTCATTCAAAAAATGGCTGAATTTAATAGAATTTTCCTGCTTCTTGATCAAGTTGATGGCAAAAACCATAATTTCTGATTTTTGGGAGCTCTTATTCACAATCTGGCCGAATTTGATAAATTTTTCCCGCTACTTGATCATTTTGACGGCAAAAATCATAATTTCTGATTTTTGGGAGCTCTCATTCAAAAAATGGCTGAATTTGATAAATTTTTCCGGCTACTGAATCATTTCGACGGCAAAAATCATAATTTCTGATTTTTCGGAGCTCTCATTCAAAAAATGGCCGAATTTGATAAATTTTTCCCGCTACTTGATCATTTTGACGGCAAAAATCATAATTTCTGATTTTTGGGAGCTCTCATTCGAAAAATGGCTGAATTTTATAGAATTTTCCTGCTTCTTGATCAAGTTGACGGCAAAAATCATAATTTCTGATTTTTCGGAGCTCTCATTCAAAAAATGGCCGAATTTGATAAATTTTTCCCGCTACTTGATCATTTTGATGGCAAAAATCATAATTTCTGATTTTTGGGAGCTCTCATTCGAAAAATGGCTGAATTTTATAGAATTTTCCTGCTTCTTGATCAAGTTGACGGCAAAAATCATAATTTCTGATTTTTGGGAGCTCTTATTCACAATCTGGCCGAATTTGATAGATTTTTCCGGCTGCTGAATCATTTCGACGGCAAAAATCATAATTTCTGATTTTTGGGAGCTCTCATTCAAAAAATGGCTGAATTTTATAGAATTTTCCTGCTTCTTGATCAAGTTGACGGCAAAAATCATAATTTCTGATTTTTGAGAGATCTCACTCAATATTGACTTCTGATTTGAGTGATTCTAGTCAGATTACAAACCGTTTTCAGGGCTTCCTGAGGTTTCTGATTTTTTTTGTTTTTGACCTTACTAATTCCATAATTGGAGGAAATATTCTGACATACCGGTAAGCTCGCTCATGGTTGACAACGATTAACAAGATAATTTAGGGCACACTATGCGAGCCATATTTCCATGAACACAATTGTGTTGAAGAAGGCAAGAACACAAGACAGACATGACACACATACAGAATTGAAGGAAATCACAGAAACACAAGAAAGTTCAGAACACACAAGACGTCTGCGGCTGCCGAAACTCCATTACTGACTTCTCCCTTAAATTTTGATATATGCAGAGGTACAAGGTACAAGTGAGAGCACATCGAAAATAATTTCAGATTCTGTGCGTCGGTGAGAAAGAGCATTGTGAGCGAAAACTGCAATATGTGACGACCGAAGGCGTCTTGACAAACCCAAGTTTTAGGACTGCGGAGGGCTCACTCGGAAGCGAGCTGTAAATAATTCAAAACTAACATTATTACATTTACGAAGTAATTACAGGACCAGAGAAGCAAGATCGGAAAAGGATCTGCTGAATAAGCTGAGCAGCTTATTGGAGGATGTCATAACTCGCCTCACACGCCTCGAAAGTGAAATGGCGACGAAGGCGCTCCAGATCGAGGCTGCTCAGTGGCAGCAACGATACTGGAGCGCAGTGGGGGAGTTGAGAGACACCTCCAATGAGCTGCTCAGGAGGGTGCCTAGAAGAGGACCAGCCGAAGGTTAGACTTACCACATTGCAGATCCTCAGATAATTACAGGATCCAATTTAGAAGCTTTCCTCTTCGATTTCGCCCCGCAGTCCTTCTTGGAGGGATTACGTAAACTGCACCCGGGCAACATCAACAAGTTCGCACTGGACCTTGAGAAGAAGGTCTACGAGGACGATACGGGCGAGTTGGCGCTGCCGGTTGAGAAGAGAGTGAAGAGCGCCAATAGGGTAGAATTCATTAAGGAGGTAAATTTTTGTTTGCAATCTCATTTTCTACTTTTAACTTGGACTTCTTTCAGTGCGTTTATAAATATTACCTGGTGCCGGTGGAGGCCAGACAAAATGTCTGGAGAGCGGTTCGAGCAGCTTTAAATTCGCGAGTGCGAAGGCTGCGTTCAGCTACAACGGCGTTGGAAACAACGCCGTCTAGACGGCTGATGACTTTGTTCGAGGCAGATGCACCAGCTGCCTCATCTGGTGCATCTGCCTCGACCTCTGCTTCGGTGTTTGATTTTGATGAGGAATAATTAAGTGAGTATGAAACATCGAAATCAAACACCGAAGCAGAACTATTATAATGTACATATTGTAAACAGCTAATTTTTCTGTGTTTTGTAAATATACTTTTTGTAAAGATTTTTCGTGTTTTGTAAATATATATATATTTTGTAAAGATCTCCTTGTATTATTTTTGTAAATAGAAATTGTTGTTTTTTTTTGCGTAAATGTGTTTTGCGATCTTGTAATTATGTTGTTTTGTAAACATCAGGTTTGTAAACATATTTGTAAATACATTTCGGTTGTTGTATAGTTGTTTTATAAATATTGTTTCGTCTATTTTTCATGAATACAAACACTACTGCATTCTTTTTGGTATTAAGAATGATGTTCCATTTTTCGAATTTCAAAAATAAAACTGAAGCCAGGCGATTTATAGAATCGGAGACGTTCTATGCAAATTTCCAAGATTTAAAATTTTAAACTCCAATTATCATGGACGAGTTTCAAAGTATGGCAAATAATGTGTCAAACAGATGATTTTTTCAAATCGGATAAGTACTATGAAAATTTTGAAAATTTGAAAATTTCAAAATTTCAAAATTTTAAAATTGCAAATTCCGCAGTTCCTAATTTTTCCGAAGTGAAGATATCACTTCCACTTTCACATCCTACCAACAGATTGATGTGATTATGATAATAAATCAATACGGTGAGGTCACTGCAGCCATGGCCTAAGCCAGCCTGGCTAATTATGACGATACGAGGGACCAACCAAAATCTATAGCACAGAGTGAAAAATTTTTTTGATTTTTTCAACTTTGGTTATATGATTGGATAGCTCAGACTTCGCTGGTTCCGAATATCCGTATAGAAATTTGATATGCAGAAGGAAAAGAAAGTTACAGCAATCCGGCTTTTTCGGCGCTTCATGGCGTTTATATCGCAGCCATTATCCGTTGATAACGTAAAAAAATACCAAAGCAAATGAAATTATCAAGTTTGGATTGACTAATGAGTAGACAAAGAGATGCCGGTTTCAAATATCAAATCAAAATTCTAGCTTAAGAACTTTGAATTGAGTTACAGTAACGCGGCACATCCAGCGCGACAAAGCGTTTAGTTCGCCTCTGGCATGGAGCCAAAAAAATTTAAAATCAAGATTTCAAGATTTTTAAAAAGTTATTCGGGTAGCTTAGGGAACGCTGATTCCAAATATTCAAACTAGAATTCAATAGATTGAAGTTGAAAAGAGTTATGCCGATGCGGCGATACCAACGCGACGATGCGTTTATAACGCCGAAGGCCCAGAAAAAAATCTTTACACACAGGAAATTTTTAAATGAAATTTTTGAAATTTTTAAAAGCACTTTTAGATAGATCAGAAGGCGCTGATTCCAAATATTCAAACTAGAATGCGATTGGTTGAAGTACAAGCGAAATATCTCAATGCGGCACTTCCGGCGCGACAACGCGTTTAAATCGTAGGATTTCAAGGCGGCAGTGTTGGTACTATGTTACTTATCCTATGGAATGAGGATTTTTATTGATTAACACGACGACAACTGTGTGAATACGTTCGTATGCATACTCTAACTCCCGTTTAGCACTTTCGTAAATCAGTTTTTCATTTGTGAACGAAATTAAGAACATTATGTAGCCCCCCCCTCTCCAGAGTTCAAATGGTTTTTGAACTGCAGATCTAAATGTTCAGTCGATTTTGATGTGGTCTAAAATGGCTCGGTCGTCAACGAGTTAACGTGCAAAAATACCCTAAAATCCGTACAATAAGTCCGACTTGTCTGCAGTTTTGACACGAAAAATCGCTGAAAAGTCGCCCTCTGCGCCGCCAATCTTGCAAATAAGTCCTCCTAAATCCTCTATCAGATAAGTCCGCAGCAGATAAGTCCGCTTATTCTGAGCATGAGAAAGCGGACTTATCTGCAGGACTCTTTTCGGCGCAAGGTCGACTTTTGTTGTCAAGGAAGCGGACTTATCTGCTAGGTCTGCTGCGATATCTGATAGGCGGACTTATTGTACGGATTTTAGGGTATATCCTTTTTTGCGCTCAAAAGAATTAACGGTTCGAAATGCTTTAAATGCAGTGTCCCGGCAGATTTTGCTCCTCCACCTCTTTGCATGTTTTAAGCCTTTTCGCCACGCAAAATCCGAATTTGAGCTTTGAACGGGCTGAAAAGGCCGATTTTGGGGCGTTTTCCTAATTCCAGAAAAGCAGCTTGGACGAGATTTTTAATGGAAAGTTGGGGGAGGTCCTCAGACGAAGATCCTGCCGCCTGTAATTCTTGCTTTGGATAGCATGCATCATGGGGGAGAGCGCTCGTGGGGTCCCGCGCCGAACAGGCGGGAAAGGCCGTCTAAGCGCGCGCCAGTTGGGGTTGCGCGCGCCGGTTCAAGGGCCATTTTCTCGGCCCAGGGGGAACATCACCCAGCCGGAGTGCGCCTGGAGGTCGATGGGGTGACCGGGAACCCCACCACACGTACATCCCCCAGGACCCGAATCTGCCGGGACACTGCCTTTAAGGTCACATACAATGAATGTACGCATATAATATAGTGCATAGAGTGCTGAAGACTGACTTGTCGAAAAAAAGTAGATCAAGTTTTTCGAAGTCAAATATACTAGCAGATTCTTGCTTAGTCAACTGATTGCACGATCTTGCATTTGCAGCGCAATAAACTTCCACAATTCAATCAGCAAGCGCATCAAAGTTTTAAAATAGAATTGTTTCGTACAACTTTTTAATTTCGACCTATTTTGCTTACCATTTATGGGCAAGTTATTATACTTATAATGAGTACACAAGGATAACGTAGCAAAAGGTTAAGGTCCGGTCCTTAGCGACAATTTTTCTGCGAACTGACATGATACAAAGTGAAATTCTAATCAGATTTCGATAATTGCTTTCTACACGAAAGATTTATTCCTCACTGCTTTACAATTCCTGGACACCAAAAAAACGCGAAACGTGGTTTTTATAATTGATCGGACTGCTAAGCTATCTCGTCACTTCACTAAGCCACTGAAAATGCTTTTGACAAATTGACGGCTCCATTTCATTGTTGTTCCCTGCGTCTGTGGACTGATTTCAACCTCCAAAAGAATTAATCTGCTTGTATCTGCAGCTACGCCATGAAAGTATTCCCCAAATTCTCCAAATTTAGGAGAAGGTAGCGAGCATCGCCAGGTTTCTGGCGATGGTTGACCCGAAGTGCAGTGCTGCAGTGAAGCGTAGTATTTTCTTTTGAAGCTCGTGGAAGGGAAGGGGGAGGGGCAGTAGTCTGGTTTACATTACTCCTTAGCAACCCTTTTTGTTATTCTTACTGAAAATATTACGTTTGAACCTCACAACACCCAGAACTGTGGGGAACCTTCGCCAAACCCTTGTTACAAGAAAAAGTATAAGCAAATGTGTGATGGTGTAGTTTAATAGAGATTTGGTTCATACAGCTGCCACGGTGAGAACGACCTACTAGACTCATTTAAGATAATTTCATTATCATTTAGAAACCTTAGCTGGCTCTGCGCCATAATCCGAGGCTATCTTGTTACTTTGAAAAATCATTTGTCAATCAAAAAATTTGAGCACAGGCTGCTAAGATGTATTATAAGAGCAGTTTTTTCTACAAGTTCTCGAAACACCACACATTTCACGACACACAGCGCATGTGGAGGTAGGAGCAGGCACTGCCGTTCCCTACCAGTACTGCCTGTAACTTCAGCGATAATCAGCATGAAGTTTTGTTGAAAATACTATGGAGTATTTTGGTAGTATAATGCCATGGCCTTTCTATGCAGATACAAGCATTCAAGTTATTGAATGAATTGTTATCCCTTGTAAGCACATGGGCGACATTGGTTCAAAGTTGTGAAAATAAGGAGCATGTTCACTGTCTGTGATAAAGTAACAAAACGACCCAGTGGCCCAGTCAGTTACAGGAACCATTATTTGAGTTTATATTTCCTTGAAAAAATACTTTGCTTGTAGGTAAGTTTTAGTCGTGAAACAGTGGGAGAATAAACATGCTTTCAAGTGCATTATAAAAAGTGAATTGAAATATCGACCGGATGTCATTTTATTCAATAACATATGAAGATCACAGAGGTACAGACAATACTGCATCTGTTATGTGCATCCAGAAACGCCAGAATTTGCCGCGTATTTTATAAGGATTGTAGTTATGAAACGCATTGTGATAAAGCAAAACTTCTTTCAAGAGATAGAGATTCAGTCGAAATTATGTTTTATGCTCTCAGCGTTTGATCTTATAGGAAGTTGTGAATATCTTATAGGACTCTTGTTTTGCTCTATTAATATGCAGTGTTCTAATTAGTACTTGAACGCAAGCAAAATCTTTACGAAAAATAAATATCTGCTAATGCTAATCAGATAATCAGAGATTCTCAAAAGTGTACAGAATATAGGACTTGTTGTGCAAGACTCATGTTCTCAACAAGTACTTCGAAATGTAAAGTGGATGCCAAGACCTACTGCACAAATAAGACTGTAGACTGAAAGTGTTGAGGCATAACTTCTTATGAAATCAAAAGGCTATTAAATAAAGCGTGAAAATCTGTCAAAATTCTAGCTAAACCAATTCCTGCCTTTTTTACGAACAAGAAGTTTGTTATGATAAGCCATGTGCTAAATTGGAGCTTCTAAGCAGAAATTAAGCACTTTGTGCCCTTTCATCCTTTTTAACTACTTTAATTCAGCAATCATCGTCATTTTTCAAAATCTTTCAGTGCAAGATTTATGGTTAGTTCGAAGTACAACAAAGTGAATAGGCTTGCACAGCCCTACGGAAGCCCTCTGTCACGTTTATTTGCAGAACGTTTGGTTAGCGACAAACGAAGTGAATAAAGCCCTGTATATTCCACCTTTGAAGTAAACATAACTAAGTGGAGGTTGTGATGCAAGAATTAGATCACACGCCTTGATCAAGCCATATGGCAACTTTTCGTATACAGGGTAATTAAATCAGTATGCTTTTTCAAGCGATTAATGTT